AATGATCAATCGATATTATCGATTCAATCATTACTTTCTTATCGATTGAGTGGATTTAACGACCTCAATTAATGTAGACTAGGCGCTCGCTTTCGACATCGAAGGTCTTAAGTTCGAGCCTCATGGGTAGGATCATAGATGTACGCTCCTGATGAGTTCCACACTGGGACAAAACAACTGTCCAGTACTTCCAGGTTTCCAATGTTGGTCTAGCTTACATTGACTCGTGAATTCAACTGTTAAAATACTAGATTTATTAAAAATATACACACTTAATTGATTGTTTTAATGACTGACAACTCCTAAATAAATATGTGCTATTCGTATTATCTGATTGACGGTAATTGGTTAAGCAATGATAGATTTCCAATTTCATGTTAATAAGTATTTGTCAGTAATGTATATCTACAATGTTGAAGGAGATGACCTTTTTACAGGATTTCAGTCAGTCAGTCAGTCAGTAACAACGTAGAACTTCGTACGTACGTACGTACATCAGTTCCAGTTGCCATACCATATTAGCACAGAGATGCAGTTGTCGATTCATATCCCATAGTGGTGAAAGTAGTAAAAGTATAAACAGTAATCGGAAAGATTAGGCTTACAGGATTAAGATATATATCTTCCAGAGTTATTCGGACCCTATCGGATTTATACAGTTTACGTATAACAGATTATTAGTTGAAGAGAATTCGACTGGAAACACATGGAATTAGTTATTTAATCTTGTTTTATTGGACATCTAGATGATATTGGATTATAGTTTATTCAATCAATATTTCATCTAATAATCAGCTCAATTTGTTTATATTTAATGAATGATTTAATTGTTAGATTATTATTGGCTGAGTAGAGACAAAACACTCTCAAGGTCACTTTTAAAATTACTCAACTGTATGAAGAATTCTTCACTGAAGGGTTGAAAACTAGACCATAATATTAATGTATTGTTGTTGTTGTTGCATCTTTTTTGTTCCCAGTTTTCATTATCAGTTAATTAAACAATAAATATTATCAGAGGGGGGTTTTGTGGATGTCGTGGATGCGCACATCTGAGGAGTCCCACAATAAGACGAAACGACTGATTCATACTTTCAGGTTTTCGGTGGTAGTCTAGCTTGGATTGACTCGTGAATTCAACTAATAAATACTGATTAATCCGTGATGTAATGATGACTTATCTTATGTTTACGATAGTTTTTAAGTATAACAAAACACTAGTTATTTTATTGTAGTTTAAATAAAATGCTGTTTTCTTGAGTCTGTGTATAAATGATTATGTGATTGAAGCAAGAAACTTCGTTTAACTTGAAATTTATGCTAGTTAACACTCTTCAGTTGTGAGGAAACGACTTGCTCTTGAGTTATTCAAGTCCAAATCATTCAGTTTACAGTTTAAAACATCGTTACTGAGTTGTTCTAACCGCTAATGATCTCCTTTATGACGGAGATACTTACAAATGATCATCTAATTGTGTACTATTGTTTGTATTCTATCAAGTCAATTGAAATTGATCACTAATTAGTGATCAATGATCAGTTTCTTTGTTCTGGCTTGTTTACTCAAGAATTCTTAGTTGAATCGAATTCAAGACAATCTGTCATACATAATTTCAAAAATGTTAGAACTTCGAGATTTTCTAGTTAGACGATGTAATTGTTCAGTCTAATTCATCAGTTATCAACAAGTTTCTATGTTGTAATTTGAACAAACTTTAAACGAATATACAGTATTATTTTGATGTTTTCGAAGTGGTCGACAAGTAGACAATCATTGGGAAAAAAATGGTGTAAACATGATAGAAAAACGTTTCGGCGTATACTGTGACGTCAAGAATAGTCAAAAATACTATATAGTCAGTATGAGGTTTCAGAGAGCTTAGATTCATGAGATACAGCATACAACTTGAGCACTCGAACTCCACAACCCTCAAAGTCGTAAGATCAGAAGCCAGAAGACGAGTGAGAAGGAATGTTATTCTCATTAATTTCAAATATAGTACAAAACTCTCAGGTATTTATAGTTTTTAGTAAACGTGTAAACATCATTATAGTTATCCTATACGCATACAGTGGTTTTTAACATTTGCCCAATAAAGAAGTTATATGTCGATATTCTGGAACGTTATTTGAAAATATGATTGATGGAATGTCTTCGGCTTTTTATGAACTTCTTAGAGGTTGCTCGAGTCCACTCGTGTCTTATCCTCACAGTCATTAACTATATGCCTTCAAGATACATGTTTTTACTTTTCAAATAAAGAACATACAAAAGGTACTGTACATAGCTTTATATTTATATAATAAACTAACTAGTCAAAGATGTTAGGATATGTAGAGTTGCATATCCCTATTGTGTTATGTAATCTATGAGACATGAAAATCCTCGACTGAATATCATTTGCGATTGTTAGTGATGATATTGATAGAACAATCAGAATAGATTTATATTGATCACTTCTGAATTAGTGATCTCTAATAACAGTCTTGTAACTCAACGGTCTATGGAATATCAGATAACAAATTCTAATCTATGTCTGTGAAGAATGAGTATTTAAATAAAATCCGGAGAGACTCTAATTTATAGACGACCTTAGAACGAACCTTAAGTAAACTTGAGAAATAGTAGCCAATCAGCAAACAGTCAGTATAGAGTAAAAATATGTTATACAAAACCAAAGAAAGAAAGTGGATACACTTCTTATACGTGGTTTGAAAACTTGTCAAGGTTAGAAAGAGGTTCAGAGGTTCTAAAATCCTAATGCATACAGTAGAGAAAATTATCCATATGGCTACAGAATAGTCGGCCTCTGGGGCCATGATAAAGTTTCAAAAACTCTTTCAGACTCGACTACATAGCTTCAGTATTGTTTATGTGCACTCCGGTTGTTGAGTACATAAAATGCCACTTGTGGATAAAGACACGATGCACATGACCAAGTCTATGTAGAAGTCTGTACGCTCTCCAACCATCCGTATATATTGTAGTACCTGTCTGCAGTCAGTGTTACTGGTGCTGTTATTATCCAGTTCGCAATAATTGTCGTAGTTTGCCTTAGTTAGGAATTATGTAAGGGGTTTTCATCACGAACTGACATCAGCTTTAATGTCAGAAATTTATTTAGCCAAATGGATGAAAGGCTTTCGTGTTAAGATCCGAGATCTATTATCTTATACCTGATTGATTCATCCACAAATTATAGTCTCGTCATTTTATGTGTTATAGCCGCCCAATTATCACGTTTTATACAAAATTCCCTGCGAACCGATCGTACGTTAGCATTAAGCACTGACGTTGGTGCCGTAACCTTGAAATCTCTAAAACGCCTCTGATTAGCTCGTCCATAAATTAGAGTCTCGCCCAAAATCCCTCTATTTCTATCCAGTTTTAATTAACATAAAATTACAATATGAAAATGTTCAAATGATTTGTGCTGAATGGTTCAACAACACAATGAATTAACCATTAAGGTCATGATAATCATATAGCTGGTTTAATCAAAGTGTGGAGTAGAAAAATTTCCACCAATGACTCAAAATGTTGATTTTTTAATTCAGTTACTTCATTAGGAAACTCAATTAAATAGATACATTCACAGTGATAAGATTGATATGTCTATAAATGGATATTTTAAGTTTAAATGGTAGTTTTAATTTCCCAACATGAGTTTGTTACTAGTGTAGTTCAATCACGTCAGATGTGAGGCAGTTACTCGTCGAAGGGATTATAGAGTGGTCGAGAAATATTATCGATTGACTGAAGTTAGGCATATTAACTATTAGATTTTGGTTCATGAGTCTGAAGATTAGGCAATCGTTATGAGATCTTAAGGTGAAGGGGTCGATCCCGGGTCGGGTATCAGGTATATTCTACTTAAGGGTACCATATCAGGATGAAATAGTTGTCCAGGGATTTCTGGTTTTCAGTTGTCATCTAACTTAGGCCAATCTGTAACATAAAATTGAAAAATTCAAGAATCTTTATAAATCCCTTAAGTTAATACAGTTGATCACTTATCCTATTGTTCTGTTTAACGTAACCCCTATGGTTTGCAATAATAAACCAGTACCGTAGTTACGTTAACGATTCCATTAGTACCACATAACTGAATTAAATGTTCTATAGTAATTTTAAAGCTAGATATTTCTTTGTAATTGGGGTTTTTGATGGAAATCAGATAGTATCCATTCGATTTACATGTTTCTTACTGTTTTTGTTTTTGAAAGAAAGATGATACTAATTTGAACGATTAAGTCATCGATACTTACACTTGATTTGAATCATAACATTGCTTATTAACTTCATCACATTTAAATCCTTACTTACACCCTTCTGTTTACCATATAAAACTTATATAAAACAAGCTCACAATAAAATACTTCCGTGCAAACGTCTAATTGTATAACGTTGAAAGCATTTTTTCTATTACTGAACAACTAGGATTGTAAATACAATACTGGAATCCCTTGTTTTACAATCTATATTGAATAAAATATTGCGCGCTAACTGAAGGTCCTAGGTTCCGACCCCGCGAGCGGGAACGTGGATGCTCACTGATGAGTCCCACAATAGGATAAAACGGCCATCAAGTGCCTCCAGGTTTCCAACAGTGGTCTGACATCAATCAGTTCACGATCTCATTAAAAAATTCAGTCATCTCCACAACCCCCATGTAGATAATCTGCTACAATAGCACCTCCTCACAATTTTGACTTTGATTTTTAACTACTCATAAGTAAGCAAAGTGATTCAATTAAAATTATCCATTCCTTTATCTTGCTTAATTTTAAATGAATCGAAATTTGAACGAAATTTTGTTTCTTTTGTTAAATAAGTCAACAATGAAAGCGGCAGTGACAATTTAACAGGTAAGTTGTTTGAAGTAAAATATGTTTATTTTCTCTGAATCTATTTTTGTTGTGAATTTGTTCAACTCAAAGGAAATAATAACTTTTGTTAACTAGTTTTTCTATTTATAACTCAGTAAAGATTGTAATTTTCAAAAGGTGAACACTTCAGCTATGCCCTTAATCCATGGAACATAATCTGATACACGTGTATATACTCCAGGATAACCTGCTTTACCGCATCCGTAACCAAAAGAAATTATTCCACTGACAGTCCATTGTTTATTAATTTGACACATTAATGGACCTCCAGAATCAAACTAAGATAAAAGAAGGAAAAATTATGAATGATTATTATTTCGTGGAGATTTTAGTAATTCAATAGTTGAATTCATGAGTCAATTAAAATGAGACCACTATGGAAAACCTGGAAGCACTGAATGGTTGCTTCGTCCTAGTACGGGACTCCTCAGGATTACGCGAGCGGTATCTTAGATGTGCATTGCTGAGGAGACCTACACTAAAACGAAGTGACTTTCCAATGCCTCCAGGTTGTCTATGGTAGTCTAGCTTTTATCGACTCATGAATTCAACTATTAAATTACAATTGAATTCATATTTTATGTCTGTCATCAAATGTTGTGTATTCGCCTGCCTAAATCACTTAACATCAATAATATTCGATGGTTCTAATTCTAATCGAATATGAAAAGTCGTGCATAATTAACTTATTTTTTATTGGCCTTTATTTTGAGACAGTTAGGTGTACACTTGCTAGTGTGGTTGTGAATACGACAGTAATAAAATTGCAAGAGAACAAACTGATCTTGAAAATTACTTTAGGTATTTGTGATAAGGAAACAAGATCACTAGATCGTCAAAATTATGCTGTATTTCGTTGTCAACACAATTAGAAGGGAACTAATGTTTTTAATGGAAAATTGATCATATAGACACTGATGACTTATACAGTCTCATTGAATGATGTGATCGGAATCACGACTGCCAAATAATATCAACATTTCGGGTACATACACTCATTAATCCTATTAACGATAACGTTATCCTTTCAGAAATCATCAAACTACATTACAAAGCTCGCCTTAACTTGGAATATCTTCAATCAAGAAATGTTATTCGGAAACAACTGAAAATGATTTCTTTTATAGATTATTTGATTGAATGATTTATTATAAAATCAAGAAAAAGTCATTATTCATTACCTGACATGCATCTCTACCACCTTCTGCATGTCCTGCACAAATGACATTACTTTCTATAGTAACATCAATAGGATTTGGTCCATTACGTAATGTGGCATAATTCATTGTACATTGATCATTTGGAACAATTGGTACACCAACATGTTTCAATATTGTAGAAATATTTTTGGCTCCTAAATTAGACAGAGTATCATAATTAAACTTATTTTAAGCTTTTCACTATGAATCTAAATTACTTATGCAATTTAAATAAGGTAAACTGTATGACAACATCATTTAACAGTGCAAATTAATCTTTAGGACGAAACGGCCATCCAGTGCTTCTAGGTTTTCCATTGTGGTCTAGCTTCAATTGACTAATGATCTCAATCAAAAACTTAATCGTCTCCACAACACCTAAACTTTAGATATCCATTGGAGCTTTTCAATTATTATGTAGTGAACGAGAACACTAGTGGATGCAACCAAATGTGTTTAAACATAAAATTACAGAATCATTTAGTAAAATCTTAGAACTATTCTTGAGATAGTAACAGTTTCTAACAATCACAGCTACTTTTGGTTTCATCTTGTACAGATGTTATTTTCTATTTTATGGTGTGATGCAGTCTGATTTTACTTGTATATAAATCAAATATATTTGGGATGAATGATTCGCATAGTGGAAGCTAAGATTAGTGTTCCGGACTCAATAGGCATGTCTGTTCATAAAAAGTAGCCGTCAGAAATCTAGGCTGCCTGTACTGGTCTATACATCATTAGTTTGGTCGTATAGATCAGCGTATCTAAATTGTCAAATCGTATTTCGCGATAATCGTATGACTAAGAACATGGTAGCCGGTGAGCAACAATAAGTTCATACACCATTCGTTCCCTCAGGATTCTAGAGAGCATATTTACCATTGGTTTGGAAAAAGGGTTTTCAAATTCCCTGGGTGGATCCTACGTATCCACCAACCCACTAAAGCCCCGTACATTCGTTTTGATTGGATGAAATCGCTTCGGATCCTTAAAAGCCTTTGAGGGCTTAATCGTACCTTCTGAGGGTCTTCCTAACTAGTAGTTTCAACAAACTGTTACTAATAGGATACATGCACACATACACAAAAGCATATCGTTGAGGATTGACAAAACTTCTTGTCAGTTTAAGCTGTTGACGTAAAAGCGATTAAACAACAGATTCTGCAAACCCATTTAATTGTTTTTTGTACAAATTTGATTCAACGTCAAAATAACAAACTAACACAAATATCGTAGTGAACGAGAACATCAGTGGGGAAATCTAAATTTATTTTAATACATTATTGAGTTGCTTATTGAAATCTGAGAACCATACAGTAAATACTTCATTTGCAAAATATGTCCATCGATTGTCTCAAACTTTGTTATTACTTCGTTTCCACTCTATTCACTCTATTCTAGTTCTCTTTTATTTGATCTTCTTAACTTTCTACCATCATACATTTCACTTTCGATTATTATTATTATTAGCATTATTCAATATTATATTTTTGGTACAATATAGAATTCTCAGCACAAAGTATTTCAACAAGTTCCCGTTTCCTTCTTCTTGGTAGGTCCTGGCGATAAATATTGAGTGATCGTCAGTTAGATGTTAGCAGTTCACTAAATGAACATCTGAATAATGTACATTCTTTTCTCGGCATATTGCCAGCAATCACATTCTCTCTTATTGAGCTATTTGTAACTTTGACAACGAAAGGTTGTACACTTTTCAGAAACGCAGCAGAATAGGTTATGCGATTAATAGACATAATGATATATTAAAACAAACAAAAATAGATAACTTGTTGAAATATTTAGATGGCAGGCACAAGTAGCCCAGATGCTCAAGCTGGCCGCCGCCTTTGATGATACATACTACTTATATCACTCGACATCAGTAGTACACAGCACAGTTACTCATACAAGTAACATAACATGTGCTATATATTGTCATCAATCCGACCTAGTCTGACCTTGACATGACCTGTCTTTATGTGATTATCAATAGTTAAATAATCTAACATCGTTAGAAGTTCAAATGTCACTAATAATTCACTCTTTTATCGGATACTATATCATTTATGTGATATTTTCTGAGTGACACTTCATTTCTGTGCTATTTTTAATCAATTTACTGATCAGAAATTGATCATTTCTTGCTTGTTTTAACCTATAAGCTTAAATAAACTTTATGCTCGACACTATTACATGAAATGGTTAAATAGACTATCGATTTGCACAATAACCCATACAAATGATTCAACTATTAGTTACGGTTAATGTAACCGATATTATACTATCAAGTACTTGGAACTAATCAACTACCGTCTACGATTTTAGGGAGAAAAAATCCAATTTAACTAGTATGCCGGTTATAACTTATGGTATTTATGAGAAAACTGTTGAAAGTCATAGGGCACTGGATAGCTTGTGTATTCATAGATATTCATGACTTCATATAGTATTGAAACCATGACTATTAGATCTTTAGAAGAGGACTGTTTGCGGGATATAGATTAGATTAAAGCATGTTCCATACACAATCGCGTTGGTGCACTCTGAGTGGTTAAGAATTAGACAATCAGCCCTAGTCGATACTTAAAGAAGACTACAATCTTCTCATGTAGAGACTATAAATATACCCTTGTTATTTGAGACATAATTTCGTTCCTGTTTAACCGTGTTCTGGTTTAGGTACTTGTCGAGTGAATTGGTGTCCATGAATACTAAGCAATAGGGATAGCTTGGTCGTAATAAGAGAAAAATTATAACGCGGACGGTATATTTTATGTCAGTCAGTGGAAGATATAATTTGAACTTCATTCAAAGACATTGAAAAGTATCAAAAGGGGTTTTGTGGAGATTTTAGTAATTTCAGTAGTTGAGATCATGAGTCAATTGAAGCTAGATCACCATGGAAAACCTGGAAACACTGGATGGCCGTTTCGTCCTATAGTGGAGCTCCTCAGCAGTTTTTGATGATATATTAGATGAAGTGTGATTTGATACCTTTAAAATAAATGTGATAAGTTCATCTACCTTTTCAAATACATCTTGATGACGAATCAGTTAGTCAACCATTCTCTTATGTAAAATATGCAATCAAGCACATATGTGCATCAGTTCAAGTTGCCCTACCGTAGAAGTACGATAAATCATAGAGTAGAATAATTAGTAACAGCGTAGTATGCACTTATGTCGACATAAGTAGTACATAACGCTAGTTAGCAATAGAACGTCTGGCAGCAGACGGTCGAGAAGATCAAGAAAGAAAACTGATGTAACAATGATTGGCATTTTACAAAATGAGTATCCACTGTATTATTCTCAGATTTAACTAAGGCGTTCTGTAATTGTGTGTTCAAATACATTCGATTATCCTCAAGTATGTTCTCATTCACAACAAAAGTATCAGTAGTAATCAAGAAATTGTGGCGTAGAAAGAAAAAAGTATGACAAGATTTTAAGACACCTAATCAGAAGGAAGACAATTACTGGATACGCCTTCATTATTGTGAATAGTTCTGAGGTATATCACGCGAAAACTCTAGCCTGTGATTATGATAATTGTGCTAGTTCTAACGATGTACTCTGGAGATAGCTAGATAAATTAGTTCAATTGTCAATAACTTCATGAACTGATACCACTTAACATAAAAAGCCTGAATGATTAAGAGGATCTTTGCGATTTGTTTTTGACATCACAGAAAAATATTGTGTTCTACCATATGAAAATGAGATATTCCTTTTTATGAGTTATTGGTATGTCATACAGTCTTCGGATTAAAGAACTGGATGATTTATAGAGACCATAGAACTAATAAATGACTCTTCTTTAGTCATTCTTATCAATGAACCATCTAGATAACAGTATTGAACTTGTCCTCTCTGATCAACAGGTCTACATTACGTAACTATTCTTCATATTACCAAAATGACAGTGTGATGTGTGCTACTGATGTCGACGGATATAAGTAGTATGTATCATCAATCGAACGTGAAATGTCTGGTGGCAGAAAGTTAAGAAGATCGAAGAAAAGAGAATGAGAACATGGAATGATTGGTATGGAAATGATGAAAGGACAATGAAGTTTTAAACAATTGATGGACATATTTTGCAAATGAAGTATTTACTGTATGATTCTCAGATTTTATTAAGATATACGGTAATGTTGTATTCAAATACTTGCGATTATAGCCTTTTGTGTTCTCGTTCACTGGAACGGTAATACTAAAGAATGAAATGTTTATAATTGTTACTCAATTGAATGAAGGTTATTTTTACATGTACAATGTAAAATAGAAGAGATAGTGATATTATTATCTGGTTTAAATAGTATTAATCAAGCTTACCATCGATTTCATGTCCCCAACCGACACTTATACAGACTTGACCTGGTTTTACTTCTTCACCAGCTGATGGTAGACAAGCAATATTCACATATCTACTTAATTTTACTGGATTTGTTAATTTTACCAAGGCTATATCATAACCACTGCTAGAGGCAGCTGAAAAGAAAAGAAAAACAGTGTAGGAATAATAAATATTAAATGATATATTTTAAAAATAAACAAATCAACTGTAACGAGCATTGTGATGTGTGCTACTTATAACGACATAAGTAGTATAAAACGCTAGTTAGGAATAGAATGTCTGACAGCAGAACGTAGAGAAGATCTAGGAAGAAAGAGCCGGGACCTGAAAGCAATTGGTATGGAAATGAAGTAACAATGAAGTCATAAGTTATTGACTGACACTTGCAAAAAGAATAGTCAAGTTTGAGACAATTAATTGATATTTTGTAAACTGAATATTCATTGTATGGTTCTTAGATTTTGTGATTTTGTGTTCATATTACATTCGATTGTCCCCAGTTGTGTTCTCGTTGACTATAGTATGATTGGATAGTGGCTAGATGTGGAAATCGGAATAGGCATTTTGATACACAAGCAACTGATCATCTGAACTCAGTAAATCAATACAAAACGTAATGTAAGTTCTAAGCTAAAGGTACTAAGTTTGAGTTTTACTATGGATATTAACAACCAACTTTTAAGTCTGAAATGAAAGATAATTGTTATGGATCCTATTGTTAGTCATTATTCAAGTTTACTAAACGTTGATGATTCAGTGACGATGTTTTGAATAGACTTTCATAAAGATTGATTATAAATATGTAAGAAAAGTAACAATAAACAAACATTTCAGCGAGACTCTAATTTATAGACAACCTTTGAACGAATCTTAAGTAAACTTGAGAAATAGTGGCCAATCAGCAAACAGTCAGTATAGAGTAAAATTATGTTATACAAAACCAAGGAAATAAAGTAGAAACATTTCATGTATATGGTTCAAAAACTTGTCAAGGTAAGAAAGAGGTTCAGAGGTTCTTAAATCGTAATCCATGCAGTAGAGAAAATCATCCATACGGCTACAAAATAGTAGGCTTCTGGAGCCATGATAAAGTTTCAAATACTCTTTCAGCCTCGACCACATAGCTTCAGTATTGTTTATGTGCACTCCGGTTGTTGAGTGCACAAAATGCCACTTGTGGATAAAGACACGATGCACATAGCCAAGCTTATGTAGGAGTCTGTACGCTCTCCAATTATCCGTATATATTGTAGCACCTGTCTGCAGTCAGTGTTACTGGTGATGTTATTATCCAGTTCGCAATAATTGTCGTAGTTTGCCTTAGTTAGGAATTATATATGGAGTTTTCATCACGAACTGATTGGCTCGTCCATAAATTAGAGACTCGCGAACTTCGTTTTTACTGTAGATAGTGTGTATTTATCGATGGAGGTGAGTATAATTCTTGTTTGCTGTACACATTTGTTACTTAAAACGAAACTATGTCGTTTTTTATGTTGTAGGATGGACAGATGTACCTACTAATAGTAGTTTATAATGTTAGTTCATCTCTAAGACATTGACTCGTCGGTGTATATGAATCCTCGAACATCAAACCAGCAATCAAAATCAGAACATTCAAGTTTCATAGTAAGTTCTTAATTATTATATTATTGGTTTGAGATTCAATTATAAGTGTTCTCATCCCCAGTCACCTTATAGATGAAGCCTAACGATCATCTAGTGTCATGGATGATGATCATTTCAGTCGGAACACGTTATAATGTCACCAAAACATAAACAACTTATTTCGAAGTAATCCACTGGTTATATTGGTTTTATAGTACTTATGTAATGGTTTTATGAACAGTACACTTCACAAGTAAGTTATGCATGAAGTTTGGAACCGGAATTACCAGATTTATCCAATAGATAAGGAAATAGGGAAAATTTTGTGGAATCTACAAACCACCAATCATGAAGTGTGCAAGTTTTAGTTACAATGTCATAGTTGCTGTTAATGAGAAAGTTCACCCTTGAATTTAGCAATTAAGAATACAATTATAACCCACACTATAAACTAGAAAATAGAACACAGATATATCAATGAACAATATAAATGATTAACAAAATAAACTACACTAGCCTACATATAAAGGATAAACAATGAAAATTAAAGGAAATACTCTTGTCAATAGAAAACTGGCTTGTTATCACCGTCACAGCATCCAAGCTACAAAAATATGTTAATATAACTTGGACTACTAAATAATAATTAGTAGTAGTTCGGTTAATATATAAAAAAAGAAGATGAGGAAAGGTATTCAGACAGTTATAACACATTCATTAAGTAATGTTCTTCAATTGCCTAAAGATTTGAGGTTACTAAAGTTTAATGATACATCAAGCGCATATATGTTTTGTAGACGTACTTTAATAGAAAAGAAAACATTTACTTCAAATTAAAACATGTAAGCAGAGATGGATGCTTGTTTCGTTTTATTTGGGACTCCTCAGCAGGATGTACTTACATCTAAGTTAATGTTCACTACGGGGTTAGAACTCGGTACTGTTTACTTCAAATGCCATCACGCAATCCATTTTGGGTATTAAGAACAGAATGCTTATCCTGGATTTCATGACTAGCTACCGTTTATCTCTAATTATAATGCTTGTGACTTAAAACAATATCGAAGCAATCTGTACAAGATGCACAGTTGCCAATAAGCGAGACTGATTGATTTCGATCTTAAACGTCAATGGAAAGATTCAAATAAACAAAGCAAACATGAATTCATACATCTAAATGTTCATTTTAACATTACATGATTAACATGATTAAGTCAAGAAAATCTTATTTTTCTATACAAGTCTAAAACCAAACACGGAAAAGGGATTATTCCATATCAAATGAGATTGTTGCCAATTGATCTAGAGATAAGATAGAAATATGAAATGAAAAGAATTGATCGATCAGAAAGGATAGGTGATAATTATCCAATTAAAAGATATTAAGAAAAAAAAAACAAAAATCTGAAGATCATAGTAACAACTGGATAACAATATGAGGGAATAATATTAATTTTAATAGTTGAGATGATGAGTCAACTAAAGTTAGACCATCATGGAAAACCTAGAAGCAATGGACGGCTGTTTCGTCCTGGGTATTTTCTGGAGTTCTAGTGAGAAACACTGATCAGCGGAATTCAACCGGGTCTGTTGTGAGATAGTAACTCAATGAAGACAATGGTAGATGTGTTGCCCAATTTTATGAATTAGTTGAATGCCAGTCGACTAAACGATCTAGTGGTTAAGCATTCGCACGCGAGATCGATAGGTCTTGTGTTGGAATCTCGCGGAGGGAGCGAAATCGTGGATGCGCACTTCTTAGGAGTCCCATAATAGAACGAAACGGCCGTCGAGTGCCTCAATGTCTTCTATGGTGGTCTAGCTTCAATTGACTCATAATCTCAACTATTAAAATCAATATATCATCCACAAAACCCCCTCTGAGAATTATATTAATTAATTACTGGCTAAGAAAACGTAAAGATTAGAATAGCTGTTATGTCCATAGTAAAATGAGATTACACGTTGTGGCATAAACTACTTAGTTAATGGAACTTCTTCAGCGTACAACATTATTGTTTTTGTTGATTCGTACACTCCTTATGCTTAAACGTTTTACTATGTTGAGTATTTTGAAAGATTAAACTATTGACTGTTTTGTATTCTCCCTTTTGTAAATCACCTTCGATAATATTTAAATAGACATTCATGATGAGTTAGTTTAGTGTAACCTGACCCTCAAACAGGTAAGCATACTTATAGATTCATATAGAAATTGTCCATAGTTTTAATTTATCCTCGATACAACCCATGAATAATAGCAAAGCTTACGAATACAATATGAAGCTACCCAGAATAGAAAATTATGTGTCAGAGATTTTGAAATCCAAGTTTTAAGATTCATCACAACTGTATCATCATTCAAATTTGATATTCATGAAGGATATCTTCTGAATTGAAAACAATCCTTAAGGTTGCATTTGCATTTCAGGTTTCTACCACCGAATTTAGAGGGATAGTCATTTTTGATGAATATTTGTTTAATTGAAGATATTTCTTTATCTTTTGTGTTATTAGAGCATATTCACTTAGATCGAACTAAGTTTCACTTAATGTTCAGTTGGACTCAATACTGAAAGTTGATACATTGACCAGTTCAAATTAATCTCTTATATTATAGATCTTGAAAAAGAATCATTTGATCTTTGAAATAGGGCATCAAATAAATGAAATTTTGTAATCATGATTGTTGTCCCATTTAGGATGACAATGAAGTTTATATTTTCGTCGCAAATAATGAATACACTATCTATTCTGACCGTTTTTGCTACCTTGACGTGGTGGTCAGTCTTACCTATTGTGATGAACTAATCTAGCTATACTCGCTGGAACAATCGTTCCTCAAGGTCCTATCATGCCAGGCAGGTTGGATGGAGGGCGGTAAGACTAGAGGCAGTAAGTCCGAGGCCTGAGGGCTGCTGACTATATAGATGTCTGACGTCAGTTAGGTGTTTTCTTCAGACAACCAGCATAACAGCGATGCCGCCTTCCCACTAAGAGAGGGTGTAGTTATAAAAGGTCGACCCTAAAAACGCAGGTTTTGCCTTATCTCACGGATATCCGTCTACGGAGGTAAGGTTCGAACAATTACAAAGCTAACACGAAAATTATTCACAAAAAGGTCGTGTTTGACCGACCTTAAGCATTTGTCCATTGGGTACTGAGGTCACGCTCTCAACTCACTAAGACCACCCCTAACCCAATTTCCTTCTCAGATTCCTGCAGAAGAACATTTCCACAGTTTGAGCAATCGCGAAGTGATAACGGCCCTCATACCTCTAACACATCATCTATTTTTCTTTTGTATAAGGGTACACATAAATCACCACAGCTTTAGTAAATCATATCGTCTAAAGGAAAACTTCTTTTGTTACATTTCCTGTAATAAATTTCAATGATACAATGAATTTCTTTCATTATGTTAGTTTACTGAATAACAATTCGTTAATTAATAAATTGGCTGTAAGATTCATAAAATTTGAAAAGTTAATTACATTATTTTACTAATTAATATTTATGGTGTACGTTACTTATATCGGCAGGTACAAGTAGTATGTAACACCAATCAGAAATGGAATGCTTCATAGCAGAAGGTTAAAGGAATCGAACTCAAAGAACTAGAAAAGGGAAACATAGAAGAATTGAGAATAGGGAAAATTATGAAGGATGTAAAGGACAATTGACGGAAGATTAACAAATGAGGGACAAAAGTACAGAATCTCTTGGTAAAATATGAGAACTATGCATTGAATACTTTGTTTGTGAAATTCCATTAGTTGTCCTCAACATACTTCATGGTTCATCCAAGTCACAATTCATTTCTATTTCCAGTTTTGTTTTATTCAAGTCGACCTTCATAGCCATCTACTGTCAGGTTATCACTTCCACTTAGTGTTACATACTACTTATATCTATCGACATAAGTAGTATACATCACACTACTACATAATATTAGTGAATAATGTAAATATTTTAACTATTTATCATGGTTTTTAAAACTGTAAAATTAACTAATCATAATCATTAATAACTTACATTGATATTGTGGATGTACATAAACATGTGCCACAGACATATCGTAATGTTCCATTGATTCATTCAACATATCATGTTCACCAATTCGTACAATCCAACTTGATGGATCCGCTGATAGATGTGGATAAAATGGATTTGGGCTAAACATATACATGAATATAAGATAGATTAGGATTTGCCATGTTATTGCTTATGATCTACGTTGAATAATAAATGAATTCAAACTCATCTTTTATCAATTAGAACAATATGATAACGGAGCTTCAAAGTTTTCTCTACTCCTGTCTAAAAAATGTTTAGTTCAAACGAATGAGGTAATCGTTGGTGACCTTCCAATTCCTGTTATCTCAGTGACAAATGGTATGATTTGTTTGGGTCGCCTTCGATTTTAGTAAATAGCCGTTAGCATAAAACAGTGTAATCAAGTATGCCGTATTGTAATGCTAATGAAGAGTGATCAGAGTGTTGTCATCACTTATTTACTTACTTATGCCTGTTACTCCACATAGAATATAGGCTGCTAACGAACATTTTCCAACTTACTTTTTTTCCCGGGCCATCCTTTCTAATTATTTCCAAGTCGTATTTATTCATTTGATGTCTACCTCTGATTCCCTGAACGATTTGTACTTTAGTCTTCCTTTTTTCTTTTTACCTTCTGAATTTAAAGTTGAGCCTTGTCTTGTAATACAGTTTGATGATTTCCTCAGTGTTTGTTCTGTCCCCCTCCGGTGCTTTTTTCCTAATTTCTTCTTCAGCTGAAAGCTGGTTGTAATCTTTCTCACAGTAGGTTGTTTCTGATGGTATCCGGTTAACCGATTTATAGTATCATGCGTGGACAGCTGTTTATAATTATCTGTACCTTTTTAATGATGTTCGTAGAATTTTTCAACAATTGATCTCCATAATATAGAACTGTCTTGAAGTTCTCATTGAAAATTCTGACTTTGATGTTGTCTGACAATTATTTTGAGGTTCACATCTTTTTTCAGTTATATGAATGCTTCCTTTTCCTTCCTAATTCTTGCCTTCCTATCTGCATCCGATCTTCCTTGTTTATGGAAATCATCCGACTGTATTACAAGGCAAGCGCTAACTTGAAATCCTGAAGGGAAATGCAAAAGATGAATGCCAAAGAACTCACTGAGTTGAGAATTGAAAGAAGACATAAGAAGTAAACAACTGGAAATGATTTCCGAGACAGAATTGGATGGAGAATATTGGTGGATGGCTTATGCTTCACGACGAGTAGGAACAGGTGTAAGTAAGTAATGAAGTCTTTACATCAGATGCTCATTGTTCATCAATGATGCCGCCCCCCCCTCAAGATACGTCAAACGTTTTCACCTCTACTAGAGTTTCACCATCAAGTATACTTAGTTTGTTGCTCAGTATATTGAACTCTATTTAGTAGAAATAAGTAGTAAGATTTCTTAGTATCTTCGATTAGTAACGTACGGTATAACAAGCAAGAATACTTGGATTATTTTATAGTTCTGTTAGGGTATATCAAAACTGATAAACAATGAGAAGGCTATTTTCGCAACGATTGTTTTTCCTCTCTAATAAATTAATTATTCATTGGGAAGTAATTCATTGTTAAAAGGAATCTTGTTGAATATTTCGTAATACATGAATAATAATGATAATAGTTGTAATTACATAATACTTTTTCAGTTATAGGCTCAGTGAATAATTGATTTCATTTATTTCTGTCTAGTGAAAATCCATTGATAATTGAGGCGGATAGATGGGAAGAATGAATGACGATTCTTTCAATAAACAACTTTAATAATTCAGTTAGTTAATCTATTCTAGTAATTCTATGAAATCAGTTAAGTTATATAAGAAATATCATATGAGCTGGCTATTTTATTCATGAAGTATTTTATATTTAATAGTTGAGATCATGAGTTAAATGAAGCTAGACCACCATGGAAAACCTGGGAGCATTGGACGGACGGCCGTTATGTCCTATTGTGAGAATCCCCAGTAGTGTGCATCCACGACCCCACCTCGAGAGATTCGAACCCATGACCTATAACCTTTATACCACTGAGCTCAATTTTGTGGATTAGTTGAAGTTAGACATTAACATCGTTGGATGCCGGCTCAATATTCTAGAGGCTAAGCGTTCCTGTGCGAGAACAAAGTACCTGAGTCCGAGTCCCGCGTGTGGGATCGTGGGTGAGCGCTGCTGAAGAGTCGCACACTAAGACGTAGCGGCATCTCAGTGCTTCTAGGCTTACAATGATGGTCTAACATGCACCTTGTCTTTTTAATAATGACAAGTTGTGTTGCATGAAGTGTCCTATTGATACCAAATCAATTTAAATGTATGTGCGGAAACACGTACATAAATAGAAGCAATCTTATTCTGTGAGTAAGGGTGGACGAAAATATACCTTTTATTTTCCATATATAAATGTTCTTAACAAGTACATTATGTGTGATCAGATTGGTTCCGAAATGTAGTACGCTATCATATCACATAATCCTGATAACCATCATCTTCTCATTACATTTTAATGAGCAGTATAATATATTTCATCAAGATGTGTAAGAGAAAATGGAATTTGAGATGGTGGAGAAGATTTGTAGCTCAGGTGGATGATTTTAATGAAGTTCTTTGAGCTAGATGGTTTGGTCGTGGAGCTTTCACCATTCTTCTGAATGATATCATCAACATAAACGTCTTCTAACAAAGGAACAGTCAAGTTTGAGACAGTTGATTGGATTTTACAGATTAAGTATTTACTGTATGGTTTTCAGATTTTACTAAGTGATTCTATAATTTTGTGTTTAAATATATTCAATTGTCTCATCTTGTGTTCTTGCCCACTAAAGTACTCTGTTTAAAACATTTTGTATTATATATCAGCATACACTGATTGATAGTTAGGCAGTAATCAATGTTATGTTTACCTAGTCTTTGGTGTTGATTGTATTCTATTGAATAAGTTAAATTATGTGCAGCATATTTTTTTTATGTTCGGGGGAATTGTTTTAATATCTGAGCTACCTGTTCCTGTCATTTAGATATTTCAATAAATTTTCTGTTTCCTTGTTTGTTTTAACAGATCATTATGTCGATCAATTACATAACCTATTCAGGTGCATTTATGAAATGTCTGCAACCTTTCGTTGTACACGTTACGAAAGTGCCCAATCAGAGATATCGTAGTGGCTGACAATATGGATTAAAAAGAATGAACACGATTCAGATGTCGATCCCTGAACTGTTAACATCTAACTGGAGACCATCCAATATTTATCGTAAGGGTTGATCAAGAAATAAGGAACGGAAACTCGCTGAATTACTTTATGCTGAGAATATAATACTGAAGAAAGCTAGTAATAATAATAGCTCGATTAGCTCGAATCCAATAACTCAGTCTATAAAGCAGAATGATGTGAATCAGTTCCTTAAATGTTTCAAGAATGTCTTTCTGAGAAGTTCCGATTATTTTATTCAGATTCAGGATCTCTTACTAATTACTTTTAATATCCTAACATATCTACATACAAACTAATTAACTTGCTTTATTAATATACCAGCTTCTTGGTAAAAAAACGACTTTCAATACCCTTTTAGAACGACAACTAGAAGTGTTCTTTATTCTTTATTAGTTCCATTCATAATGACACAATGTTTCAATAGAAATACATTGATCATGAATTCACTCCGTGTGGTTTTACTTGTATCTTCCCATTGTTATTTAGGAGTGCGACTGATCAGTCTCACGTTGGCATATGTGGATGCTGTGGGGATTGCCTCGATATAGCCTTAAGGCCCAAATAGGACGAAAGGCGCGTCCTGGATTCCACTGCTAGCCACTATACACCTACCTACTGATACCTTACGTTAATACTATCCCTACCAACCTTAACTAATTTAAACAATAGCGAACATGAACAGCATATCACTGAGTTACATGACATATGCATTATGGTAGACCTGACTGACATATTTTTGTCATTACTGCTTTGTTGTTCCATGATCACTGTTTCCATTTCCCTTCTCTAATTGTAGATAATGATCATTAATTCGTTCTGGCACAGGAAATAACCTTGAATACACCGTTCATAAATCAATAGGCTGTCCATTTAAGAAGAATTAAAAGTTCCCAGCTAATGCACTGTATTGTTGATGTAATACATGTACTACCTAAAGAATTACTGAACTAGTATACTTAAAACTATTTTATATCACATGTTTGTTCTCTACATCTAATGTTACTATTTATACCAAATTGATCACGCCTGTAAACTGGAGTGAATTCTGTAATTATTTGTTATATCCCGATAAGCATAATGAATGGTAACTTTTGGGATCCATTTAGGGACCAATACTAAACGTATATTTTTATCGCATAACTGTTAAATAACTAAACTATTCATATTCGTGTTCCTCTTATCATAATCTGTATTTTCACCCATGAACTATTACTATACGATTTACCATTCTTGAGTTATGCCCTGTCTATCAATTACTATCTCCCACATTCACAGCCACATCTGGCTAATTCTTGTACAAATGCTGTTTCATATTTTATGGTACGATGTGGTCTGTCTGGTTTGTATATAAACTCAGTATGTTTGAAATATGATTCATATTGCACAGACTGAGACTGGTGTTCTAGACTAAACAGGCTGGGCTAAGCAGGAAGCAGGACCAATAAGGACTTTAAGACTGCTCCCACGTGTTTATTGCGTCCTTGATTCGCTTGATAAGTCACAACTCCTTAATTGGTGGTCACAAGTTATAACAGTGTTGTATTGAAGAAAAGCGTTGATTTATTCCCTGAAAGCATATTTTTGAGTTGTATTTTTATATCTTCAAGAATTTCTCAGTTATATTGGTGGTGTGTTCCAGTGAATCCTACTGAGGAAACCTAGTGGTCCTTATGGACCGATAAGGGCTCTAGACTGCTCGTACGTGTTTTATGCGTCATTGGTTCGATCGATAATTCGCTGCTCTCTAATTGGCGGCATCATCACGTCATACATTAGCAGGACACTAAGGCCATTATTATTTTCAGAATATATATATATATTATCATTAATATTAAACTCCAACCAATAGGCTACAATAGAAAATCTTAAATTTTTATTTACATCCTAAAATTCAAATACGATG